ATTTCGTTTTTGCAGCAGAGAATTAGAAAAGATCCAAGATTTTATGTTGGAAATTAGAGTTCTTATTTAGTTTTCTTGTCTCTTATATCAGGAAAAGACATAATAAAAAGATGTATGAAAATGAAAGATCAATTAAAAAGATGTCGAGAAATCGAATTTTGATTTTTTTATCTCTTACATCAAGAAAAGACATAATAAAAAGAAGTATGAAAATAAAAAATCAATTGAATAGAATAGGATCACTGTGTTGGGAAATAGACTTTTAGTTTTCTAGTCTCTTATATCAGGAAAAGACATAATAAAAAGATGTAGGAAAATGAAAGATCAATTGAATAGAATAGGATCACTATGTTGAGAAATAGACTTTGTTTAGTTTCTTGTATCTTACATCAGGAAAAAGACATAATGGAAATATATCCTTGTATCAGGAAAAAGTCATAATGGAAAGATTTATAATAATAAAGAATCAATTGAATAGGATCACTATGAAGCTGTTCATGAGGCTAATCACTTGTAGCTTTGTGGCAACAAGTCACTGTCGTTTCCTTTTCCATGTTCTCTTTGTGTTCTTCACTATGCTGAAAGTTCAGAGAAAAAAACGGAATGGTCTTTTCTTGATGAGGCTAATCACTTGTAGCTTTGTGGCAACAAGTCACTGTCGTTCCTTTTCCATGTTCTCTTTGTGTTCTTCACTATGCTGAAAGTTCGGAGAAAAAAACGGAATGGTCTTTTCTTTCTCATCCTCTTCCTCAACTATGCTGAAAGTTCTTTTTTTTTTTTTAAACCTTGGTTTCTTCATCCATCACATCCCTCTACTCCTTGACACCTTTGATTCAAAATAAAAACAATGACATATACTTACATCGTCTCTATCTCTATTATCTCTATCTCTATAATATACTGGCTTGATAATTATCCTTTTTAATTTTCTCAATATTATTACTCATTTCATCTCTAGGAGTAAATACAAATGAGAAAGAAGCTAAGCCAAAATTCATAGGAGCACTAGATAATAAAAAAAAATCTCAACCTCAAGTTTTGAACATGTATCATTTTTAATATTGTGATTGATATTTTCAAAGTAAACTACTTATGGAGAATAATAAGAATAAACTTCATCAATCACAATATATCGAGACATCACATAACTATGTATACGTGGATCTATACCTTTAACCTTTATTTTTTAAGCTAATAAAAATATATTTTTGGGCTTTAATATCATACTTGCTTCTCTTTGAATCTAGTATATTAATATAGTATGAACCAAATAGCTTGAAATATTCAATTGTTTCTCACTAGACATAAACTTATATGGAGACTTTAAATTGATTGGACTAATAAAAGCTTGATCAATAACATATGTCATACCTTCTACCCATAAGGTTCTTAGTAAATTCTTAGTATAAATCAACACTTACAATTCCCCACAAGGTGTCAAAATTTTTTGTTATGTCATACTAATTTGTTGTTGTGTATTTACATATGTAAGTTTTCTTTTATATCATTCTCATCACAAAAGGAAAAAAATCTACCAAAAATGAATTCCCTTTTATTGTCAGTCCATAATCTTTTAACTTTTCTTTCAAGAATACTTTAATTGTTAACTTGAACTCTTAAAATTTTAAAATAACACTTTTGATTTTTTTTTTCTCCACAAAATAAACCCAAGTGAATCTTGTAACATAATCAATAAAGTGAAATATATAACGAGAACCTAAATATGATGAAGTTTGAAATAAGCCTATTAGATTATTCTGAATAAGTCTTAAGAGAAATTTGCATCTTGAAAATGATTTATCAAAATATTACTTATGTATTTTGTCATACTGACAACCATCGCAGACTTCATTACTATTAAAAGTAGTAAGATTAGAAAGATTATTAAATATACTTTTTTACATCAAAAGTTTTAATTTGAGAATATTTATATGACCAAGTCTAACATTTTAGATTGATAATCCATCATTTGTACTCATCTTATCAACATAAGAATTAAATATTGATAAAATATATAAATCTTTGATCCTTTTATTAATATCTACTACATCTACGTTGAATTTTTTTGAAGTTGCGAAGAAATTTGACTTCATTAGTACATTAAACTAAGAGATCTTTATTTTCAAAACTCTATCTAATTAATTTATTTCAAAATAAAAAATAATACTTTAAATCATAACACTTGTCATTAGCCTATGCTAATTCGATGCACATCGATTCTTGTGTAGCTTCCTTGTATACATCTCTCATTTGTTATTTAAAGTCGGATATATCTCTCGTTTGTTAAAGTGGCAATCATAAGTACACGTTTCTCTTCAAGGAAACACTAAAATTTTGCTATTTAAGGTCGTATATGCCCTTCAGAATTGTAATGATGATGATTGTGATTGATCAACAAAATCAAACACCAACCATAATGTGTTTTGGATTCATGGTGAGGTTACATTTAAACCTAATAATACACTAGCGAGCTGAATTCTCCTTACTATTTTATATAGAAGATGATGAGTTAGTCATGACTATTTTCTAAGCAACGAAGTTAAGAACCAGTTTTGAGCCTTCTTCATTTCTTTTTGCAGTAGAGATTTCGAAAAGATCCAAGTTTTTATGTTGGAAATTAGAGATCAATTGAATAGGAGATCACTGAGAATGAAAAGATGAATGAAAATGAAAGATCAATTGAATAGGAGATCACTAAGAAAACATATTATAGCGGAATAATTCTTTTCTTCTTTGTGTATCAAAATGTGTTTCTTATCATAATATCAATTTATTATCAAAAGTAATTATTAATCAGAACAGTATAAACAATAGAATAATGAATTAATCACAAAGTGAGATACCAAATTTTTTACCTGAAAAATCCAATACGAAAAAAACTATGGGACCGTAGTCTACTTCAAACCTTCACTATCACCAATAATGATAATATATTTACAATAAGTCTTCTCTAAATAACTAGAGGATCACGATAATATCATGAACATATATCTTGGTTCAACAGTAACATGTCATCATCATCATAAATATATTTAAATAAAAAATTGATTGAGATCTCACCAAGGGGGTATATTAGAAAAGTATATTAGAGAAGATGAATTATAGATAATCATCATTAAAATTATAGAGCTTATTGCAAGGATTCTCTACATAAAATTTGGATCAAAATTGATAAAATTTTATCGCTTGATAGTATAACAAAAATCTCAAAACCTTAATTTTGTTCTTTTTATGCTCGGTATTGTTTCCACCATTCGCATACCTCTCAACCCGCGCACATCTTCTTCTTTTTTTTAATAAATTAGATTTAAACTTAATATTCAAATTAACCCATCCAAGACTCAACAGGGAAATAGACATCTGGTTTTCTTATCTCTCGTATCAAGAAAAAGATATAATTAAAAAGATGTATGAAAATGAAAGATCAACGAAATAGAATATGATCACTGTCTTGCAAAATAGACTTTGTTTAGTTTTCTTGTATCTTACGTCAGGAAAAAGATGTATAATATGAAAATATATCTGTCTCTTGTATCACGGAAAAAGTCATCATGAAAAGATGTATAATAATAAAGAATCAATCGAATAGGATCACTATGAAGCAGTTCATGAGGCTAAACGGCTTTGTCGCAACAAGTCACTGTCGTCTCCCTTTTTTTTTCTTTCTTCCTCCTCTATCGGAAGCTAATCACTTGCATGCTTTTCATGCTCTCTTGTTGTTCTTCACGTGCTGAAAGTTTAGAGAGAAAACAAGGAATGGTCTTTTCTTTCTCATCCTCTTTCTCAACAATTTAGAATGATCTTATTTTCACAAAGAAAGGAGTTCCTTCAAAATATCGAAACTCTTATTATAGCCGAGAGAAAATTGTGTACGCTTATACTGAAGAAGAATAATCTTAGATTGCACTTATAGCCAGCAAGTAGGATCAACAAACTGTTCCTATCAGTGCACTGTGCTGATGAATTCACTTTTCAACGTAAGGGTTTCAGAGGTAAGATAGAGGAAACACCATGAAACATGTGTTCGACGATTAAAAGCATTTGTTGGGTTGCATACAGTGACTCTTTCCCTTCCTTTTTTTTTTCCATCCAACTGAAAAGAATTGATTAATCCTCCATTTATGACTTCAACTTCATGACCAAACAGTCGTTATCTTTTATAGCTTGGTCCACTGATACAAGCACCTGAAAAGTCAATGTGCTCATCCGTATCCGTCTAATAAGATCAATGTATTGTTTGTTTTCATATTTGATTAAGTTTATTATTTTTTATTATGTAGAATCTTGTAAATGCTATTACTTTACTGGACGGAAAAATTAAAATGAGAAAGTATCATCTGCTTCCCCTTTACCTCTTTGATTCCCCATCAATATTTTCATTGGATAAAAAGAATTGAATTAAACACTTGATCCAAGTTATTTATATGGCTAAATTTTAATATTTTGATTTAAATATAATATATTATTAGACTCCGATTCTGAAATTGGTGATTCGGGAGTCCAATTTTTGGAATCAAATGATCAGTTTTAGATCTTATTTAATCAGTTTTGGTTTCAATTTTGATTCGAATTATACGTTTTTTTTAAGATTTAATTAAAAATAAATTAAAATATCAAAAAAATCATAATTTTATTTCTAGGTTTTGATCTTAATGTCATTTGATATATTTCGGTACATGTGACGAGTCTAATGATATAAGAAATAGATCAAATTATCTATCGCTGTTGCTAGTGCAACATGTCCCGTTGGGTCCCGTTGGTTCCTTCAATTATGCGTCCAATAATTGTTTGTTATTTTGGTCTCTTGTAATATATATATATATATATATATATAT